AGCCCTTTCGGGGGCTTCCCCGAGGAACAGGCAGCAGGGGGTTGCTCTCAGGCAGGGTGGATAAATCAACGGCTTTTTAATTTTTTTTTAAAAAAGAGGTTTTTTTTAAATTTAATTCAGATATTTTTTTTATTTTTTAAGAGTTGTTGTAATTGACCTATATATAGTTTTAATTTAAGATATGTTCAAGCTCACAGGAGTCATTGCAGAGTAGGGTTATAACTTAACATTATATACTATTTGAAACTATATTCAGGTTTTTAGTAAATTTATAGATAGTTCATGACAGGCTATGGACTATATTAGGGACCCAATCTTCTGGGGCTCGCAGAGGCTCCTCTGTTAAAGAAAACTGCTCCACGCAATGGGACTGGTTGATCAGTCTAGACGCTCCCTTTAAGCATCTCTGTGATGCTTAGTTCTCAGGCTCTGGATTTATGTCTCCAGAGATAGCATCCTTGTTAACAGCAGTATATGGAGATAAGAGATAATAGATCCGATTACCTACCCATCAGCTCTATTGTCTCTCTGCAAGCTACTTGTACACAGAGTCAAGCCCTTACTGCTCTCTGCAAGTGCAAAGTTTGAAGAAGTTAAATGAGAAGGATTGTTGGGGATGTAGTAGATCTGGACAAGGAAGAGGAGTCTGGAGATAAATGCAAGGAGGGGGTGGCAGTAGAAACAAAAGAAACATTTTGATCAAAATTTTGTTAAAACTGCAAAATACTTCCTTGCAGCAGCTGCTCTGAAGAAAGCAAGAGGAATCAAACTAAGTCTCCCACGAGACGTGCAATGGAACTCAGTAGCAGACCGTTTTGAGCAATATATTGAGAGCTGGCCTAATCTGATGACAATTTGTGAACAAAATCATGACAAAATAGATGGAATTGTCATAGCCAAAGTTCTCAGCGTTCGGCAAAAGAGAAACGTAGAACGGATGCTAGCTATCCTGAAGCCTATTTCCGTAGCCTTGAACAAAGTTTATATCAAACAACAAGACTGCACTTTTTATAGAAAACTGATTAAAGCGAGGCTTCCTGACTAGTTATTGAACTCAATTTGATTTAAATCCACCCTGTTCTCAGGCCCTGATCCATGGGTGGGAACAAGATCAGCACTGAGGGCCCTTAGCTCCCCAGGGGGCCTCAGGGATGTACTACGGTCTGGTTTATAAAAGATTGTCTCTATGCAGCCTGTGTTCATAGCAACTGATACTTTAAATGGACTGGAAATAAAGGTGCTGTTGTCCTCAGGACTGCTCTTTCTCCTGAACATGGGCTTTTTTCCCTTGTATTTTTCCTTATACCACTCTCCTGTTGGGATGGAGGAACTTAAAGTTTCCATCAGGTAGTCTTTCTGTGGTCAAGTTAAGCCAGAGAGGTTCTTTGTTTTGCCATTCCAGGAGGCCTAGCACGTTCTCCATTACATGTTGGAGGAGATGCAGTGCTTTCTGTACCAGGTACTGGGACATCTTCAGAGGAGTTACCCTACCACTGAATAAGAAGCAACTGATCCCCACAGGTCAAGGGAGGACACTGACCTATTCTTCCAGGTGGTTCTTCCTCCCTTTCACTTCTGACTAAGTGAAATGCTGCCTTATACCACAAGATCACTAGTGGCACCCCCCACAAACCGTCCTACAAATTCTTAGCAGGATAGGAGATATTAGGGAGTGACCCCCAAGAGAGGGGTCAAGATACTGATGCTGGTCCTGTTGGCCCTTATCCAATCTCCCTTGCCAGAAAAGTCTTGTCACTACTGATTCTAACACTGCCGCCAGGGGGATGACCCTAGTGAGTATGTACAAGGCAGAAGCTGAGCACAAACTTGCCATTTGCAGAGGTTGTAGCTGCGGCCAAGATATTGACCTTCAGGAAGTCCATCAGCTGAGGCTGGCTGAGTAAGAAGCAGAAGGTGATAGAGTTCTTGTGCCCTTTTCTTCGAAGTCTTTCATGAAGGAGATGGGTGAGATCACCCAACCTTTGACACCTACTCGGTATCAACATCAATAGCTCCTCAGCAGTTCATAAGATTTCTATGGTAGGAGTTTAGAGGGCATCTTCAGTGAGATTTTTGAGAGCCTGAGGCTGACTGTGGTTGACCCAGGGGTGATATTCTCTTTATAGGCCTTGGTTAATTGCTGGGCCAAGCCCATTGCAATACTCCCTCCTCTTCCTGCCTTTGACTCTGATCATACTCTATGATCCTGATTGTCCCCATGCTTGCTTCTTGGCCATCAAACCAAATCTGCTTACGCCACCATTAACATCCTCAGGGAGACTGCCAGTGATCATTCCCTAGTAGATATTCAGACAATAAATGATAAGGATTTCCAGATAAGGAGGCTAGGTCCAACACTCCCTCTTGGACAGAATTTGCATTGTTCATGTTTACACTGTGCAGGTCATAAGTGTAGCATTCGTGTAACTCTTCATCTGTGTCAGACTGCCACATGACAGTGTGCTTAATCTCTAAGAATATGCCCACATGCATTCCTGGTGCATTGTTTTCAAGCCCTCCCAGCTGCCCCCAATTGCACACACCAAGCCTAAAAATGAGGCTAGTGGTGACACGTAGGGGGTGCACAGGGGTGCATGTGCACCCCATGAGAGCACCGGTGCACCCCCTGACTGTCTGCACTCGCTGCTTAGGCAATGGGCAGGGGGGACAGGCGGGAGTGCCAGTGCCGCAGTGATGGGCCATCGCAAGATCGGCTGTGGAGGGACCCCCCACAACTAAAGCAGCACCAGTCACCCATGAATGAGGCATTGAAGCCACGGCAGGAGCACTTTCCACCACTGCTTTCAAGCGTGGTTAACTACTGTGGGGGGAGCACCCTTGGGGCAATTTATTTGCTTCATTTCTGAGTTGTTTATGTGTGAGCAAGAATGAGTGTGTGGGGTGTGCTTGGGGTAGGCTACAGCTGTTAGAGACTGGAACCAGCCTATTGTATTTTAATAGTGAACTGTTTGGGCAAACTATCTGTAGAATCCTGGGGGTTCTGGTTGGACTGGCCAGGACAGAGGCATGCTTTACGTTTTGTGTACAGTTAGTAGGATACCTACGTGGCTCTCTTAGTACCAGTATGCTCAGTGGAGTGGCAGGTTGTGAAGGCATGCATCAAAGGTGCAGGAGATGATGGAGCTGGAGATGAAGTGTAGTAAGGGCTAAATTTTTGACAACCACAATGCAATTTTAGAGTCAAGAATCCAGTGTCTTGTATCCAAGTCTGGATCACAGCTTTTGCTGCTTTTGTGCCACAAAGAGGCAAAAACACTTTCTCTGCCTCCTAGCTTAAGACAGTACAGGTTTCACTTGCCAACCACAGTTTTGCCAATCACGGTCTTGAGTATCCACACTTAATATTCTATAAGCCAT